GAGTGAAAGCCTTCCAAATTGCCAGAGCCTGTCTGTCTCCTGTGGTGGTCTGCACCCCTGGCTCAAGAGAGGGGAACCTTACAGCCATCATGCTGGAGGCAGCAGGTGGCTGTGGGGAATCCCATGTACGAAGCTAGAAAAGGTGCTTCGGACTTCAGAGAAGCATAAAAACCAAGCAAACTGAATTCTACCCTTATTTTATTTTATTTTATTTTTGGTCATATCCTGTAACAGGGAAACACTCCCCCATTTTTTTCCCTCAAAAATCATTCCTAGTCACTGATCAAATATTTGTGAAATATCTGTATGCAAACTAGGTTGTTGTGGCTTCAGACAACAATACAGAGTGGTGTGATCAGAAATGTTCTAGGGGTGAAAGGAACTAAATTCTGTAACAGTGGATAAAATATAATCATATTCATTTAAATAATAAAGCAGAAGTACTCCTTAATTAAAATTACAGTAAATTAAATCACAATACTATGAATCTCTCTTCTCTGGGAGAAAACTGTTACATAAGCATGGATTTCATTATTATGCTAGCCTAATAAATCCCTGAAAGACATCTGCTACCCTCCTGACACTACTTCTCTCACCACATACAGATACAGCTTTCATCTCTGCGGTAGTCCATGCTACAAACATCCTTCTGTGGTTTCCTCACCCCATAATGTTTTCTGGAGGTGAAAGACCTATGGCCTTCCATTATTTTCTAACCTTTTCAGGCATCTGCAGCTGGGAGAAGGGATTTCTACTGAGGTATTTGTTTTCACAGGGCTGCCAGCTGACCATCCTCAGTTGTGGTGGTCAGTGTTCATGAAAATCAATCTGCAAATTTAACAGCATGAAACCAGATAGTTCCTTGTCATATTCAGACTTGCTCAGCAGCTAGCTATGTTTGATAGACAATGATTTGAAGTGTGTTTTTACAGTGTGTTTTTATTTTGTTAGGGTTTGGATTTTTTCTTATGTGCTATTTTTTATCTATAAAATGCAAGGTGGGTGAAAGGGGGTTTCTTTAAAAAAAAAAATTCCTACAGTGAATATGCTTTCCTCCTAGAAATTCTATTTTTATTAGCTCAAAAATGATTAAAGGTTGAATCTTGTAATGGTTGATACGTCAAAGAGCTCTGGCTGCGTTCCACTTACAGCAAGCACCAAAAGAATAAGAATTTTTATTATCTTTCTGTTCTAGTAACCTTTTAAAATTAAATGGCAGAATGGATTTTCCATATTTACTTAGCAATAAAATAGCAGACCCCTTTGCAGTTTATATTTAGCAGGAAAATACTGCTTTTAAAGAAAAAGTGTTAAAAAAAATTAGTACTTTTCCCCTTTTTGCAAATCTGCAATTCAGGAATGAATTAACATATCTGCGGAGAAAGAGCGGTTTTCATGGAAGCAGAATGTCTGACATAGACTTTCATTGGCTTCTGGTGACCCTGTGAACAGGAATATGCCTGTAAAAGTGTGGATTCTGTTCTGTTTATCATTTTACTATAATTTCACCTCCATATGATTTAGTTTCAGTCTGCGTTAGATTTATGTGCTGCTTTTAATTGCTGCTGCAGCTCTGTAGTCTCCTTTAACAATCTTTTCTGGATTTTTTCAGACTGTACACTATTTAGTAATGCATCTAAGGGCACCTACACTCATGACAACCTGTGGTGCTCTCTCCTATCTCTCTTCTCCAAGTTCCACCATCTTTGCATTTACTTTCCATTGCTGCTCCTTGAGTAGCATTCATCCTTCTCCACTCTCCTCCAAACCCCCTCCCTGCACTCAGTGCTGTGCTGTGCTGGCAGCCTAGTGGGGGACTCAGACACAGCACAGCAAAACTCAAGGCTGGGTTTAGGCTGCCACTGAGGAAACATCTGGCCACAGCTTTTTTGATGACATGCAATTTAACAACAGGGACTTTCTTCATCTTTGTAACTGAGTGCTTGGCCAGTATAGTTCCCTGATTAGAAAATTAATTCCTTGAGAAAGGTGGCCTGGAAAATAATCCTCTCTTCATCTCCCAAACCATTGAGGAAACTTTCCCATTACTGTCTGTGTTTGCAGTACGTGGGCAAGATAAAGGATATGGTAGGGACTTTGAAAGCTGTGCCAAAAAATCTTGATGATTAGAAGTTGAGAATTGACAGCTGTGACGATAATGAGAAAGCTGCAGATCCTGAGGAGAGGCCAGAGAGAATAAATTCAAATCATACTTAGAAGTTTAGATTACATATCTCTAAAGCAAATTTCTGAAAAAAACATTTTCAGTTCCAGATATATTCATTGCCTTTTCCTCCTCTCAGCTTAACCTCATATAAAATTGCTTCTGCATAGTTCCTATCAAATTGAATTTTGATGGGATCTAAACAGTGTGAGAAATGAAGATCATGACTCCTTCCTGGGCACCAGCTTGTTTCAGTTGGTTGTGGACTTTCTCTTAAGTTAGTTGTTCCTCTTAGACCCATGTGATCATTTCTGTTCAGACGGTGGAAAAAAGGCCAAGGACTGCCTGAACCTGCCAGAAAGCTCCTGTCAAAAAAATAAATAAAAACAGAGGATGAACAGCATTTGAAATTCTTAGTAAACCCAGAGATTTCCTATGAAAACTAAGCAAAATTGTTTCTATTCATGAGCTTCTAAATTGAATACATCAGATCTAGTGCTTTGAAGTGTTGTGGTTTTTTTTTTACTTTAATCCCCTAATTCTCATATAGAGACTAGATAATCTTCCATTTATAGCAATGTAAAGCTTAGTTGAAATATACAATATTGTTTATTGTTTATCTATGCAAAATATGAACTTGCATTTAAAACAGTTTAAAAGCTACTAGCAAGAGAAACCAATTTTATTTATATCTCTCTGGCTGTTTCAGTGATAAACAGATGGCTTTAAAGCACAGCTTTCCCACGCAGCATCCTATCAACTTAAATGGCAAGAACCTTGCAGCTTGATTCTGTAGCTAGGGTCACATCATGTTCTCCTCCAGGCTCCCTGTGCTTCTTTATTCAGTAGAAGTATTCCTCTCTGTAAGTCTGTCTTCGGTTGTTACATTAGGCATCAGTAGCTTACAAACAGATACCTTACATGAACCATGGGCTTCTAATTCTTTTGAGTAGCACAGAGCAAATGAAACCATATGGATGCCCAATGTAATGTTATGGAACTGTAGGTAATAGGTTGTTTCTAATAAGCAGTGGAAGTCTCTGAAAACAGTGTTGTATTTTTATGAAATCGTGATATTAAGGCACAAACATTATACTTGCAGAAACTTGGTTTCAATGCTACTGAAAGAGGATGGAGACTTCAGGCAGAATGTAGGTATTGAGCTAAACTTGACTATGTTCATGTTTAATTATATTCAAAATATAATAGCCATATCCCTAATACAGGGGACTGAAAATAAGAATTCCAGCATGTTTGGAAGTCTTCTGTGGAAGCTGGAAAATATTCAAAAAAGATAAGTGTTGCCAATATCCTGTTTCTTTGTTTACAATAATACTGCTGTAGAAGTACATCTTGGATATAATGAAGTTTTCTGTGGTGGAGAAAGACAGGTAGGTTCACAGTGGCTGAACAAAAGTGAAGTTTGAACTATGTTTTTGATACAGGATTGTTGATGTGTTACCGTTGGCTTTAGTTGCATGTTTATGTGAGAGTATCAGATCTTAAAATCAGTGATGTTAAAGAAACAAAGTGAGTTTTGGAGTAATGGGAAATAAGATTTTTTTAAAATAAAAAAAAAAGTAGCAACAACGTACCTTAAAAATGGGTTACAGATATATTTGTTTCATATATCACTATACTGATGATAAGGATCATCTGCATTGTGTTTGTTCATATTGCTTGTTTGATCATTTCAAATATGTGGGTATGATATAGTGTAACATTACCACTTCAGACCTCTAGAAGTTCTTTTGGAAAGAATTTCTCATCTCAACTTTATAATTTCCTTTTTAACGTGGTTCTTGCATAAATTCAGAAAGCAGACAAATACTTGCAACTGTGATCCTTTAAACAACATGAGAGCACACTTCTAAATTTATAGGATAAAGTTAGGAAAACTGTCGAATTTACCAAAATAAACACTTTCTAAGTATTAGGCTACAATTTTCAAGGAAAATATGATTCTGTGTGCTATCACTCTGTGTGCCAAACTTGAAGATGCAAGGATGCAATGTCTTTATCCATTTCAAGTTAGATATCTGAACTTGGGCTTTATTTAGACAGATGTTGTTGCCATCAGTTGTACTGTTGCAATATTTGAAGAACTTTTTCTCAACAATACAAAGTGAATGATTCAGAAAGCTCCAGCCTCTTCTTAGAAATAAAAGCCTGCTACTTTCCACTTTAGTCAAGTTTTTAATTTTAGAATGTTTCAACATGCTGTAATTCAATTGGGAAAATTGTATTTTGGTTTAATACTGAAGTAGTGGCTAGACTGTACTTCTGTCATTAATTTGCTATTTGTTTCTGAAATCATCATGAAAGAAGTACTATTTAAGAAAAGGCCTTGTGATTCTAATTTTATTTCTATAACACTGTGAAGAGTAGAAGATTTGTTCTTGTTTGTGCTTGCATAAGCAACTAGAATGACTGCATGTGGTTAGTGGACTTTAAATAGCAACTCTAGAGTATAAAATGTTCAGTTTTCAATTGAAGTGTATGAACAGAAGCCAGGGCTTTTTAACCTTCTAGTCCCTAAAGTCTGCGTATAGAGCAAACTTAAAAACACTTTGAGGTTTGACTGTGTTTTTGCAGTGGAGTAACAGTAGTTTATTAATTCTAAAACATGAAATTATGCATATCCATCTTAATGCATTATAATAATTAATTTAGTTGACATGATTTTTATGCAGTAACTTTTTTGACATTTCTAGAGTTTATCTTTAAAATTTATATACACTCCTATTATGTTATTTTATTAATCGTATTTAAAAAGGGACGTTAGATATTGAATATTGTACCTCAATTTTATTGTAATGATTTTACTGGTTACCAGGTGGGGTGGCAGTTGAAAAATTTGGTGAATGCACTACGAGAGGATCCGAGTGGTGTTATCTTAACTTTGAAAAAGCGACCTCAGAGCATGCTTACCTCAGCACCAGCTTTACTGAAAAATATGAGATGGAAGCCCCTTGCTCTGCAGGTAATGAAGCTTAATCATAAGTCATACACCATCATTTTAGCTATAAACTATCTCAGTGATGCTTTATTGTGCTTCATCTCAGCAGCATATGGATTTACTCTTGTATGCTTTGAAAAATTGTTTCTGAAATGATTTCTCTGCAGTTTGTTCTCATAGGCTCAACTGAAGTTAAACCTGTTAGTAGAACTTGTCAAAGTTCAGAAGTAATCAGCACAGTGCTTTTCAAGGCAGAAAAGTAGTCCCAGAGACTTTTCTAGCCATAGGGAAGAAAGCATACTTAAGGAACTTATAGATTTTAGTTTATCGTAGTGTTAAGTTCTCCATACAGTACGACTTCAAAGAAAGAGATATGGAAGTGATCTTTAGTCCTCAGTTTGATCTGTCATGGAATTGTAGGAAAATATATGCAGTGATTTTCTTCAACAAAGCACGTGACCAGCAAAATTTGCCCTACAAATAAATCTGCATGTTTGTCAGAGTGTTCCTTGTGAAGGAACCATTGCATACGGATTTAGTACAGGATGACCAGCTGGATCTTTATTTTTAGTAAGCCTACGATGTGCTGAAAACCATGGGATGGTTTCATTAAAACGTTCATGTTTCACTCCAGGATAAAATGTCAATGTGATGGATTTCTCTAGGAAATAAAAGTTATCTCCACTCTGATAAAAAAACATGTAACCAACAGATGGAACTGAAAAAGAATCCCTTTTTTTAAATTCAGTTCAGATAGGGCAATGTTTAGAATTTTATTTTCTTTGCATAATGAATGCATTCTTCAGTACATTTTTATTGCCACAGTAAAAAGTCTAATTTAAAATTAAGTACATTTGAGAGAGAAAAGACTTCCACATCGTTCAAGAGAAAGGAAAATGAGATGTGGAAATGCCACTGCTAATGGCTGTGGTGTTTGCCATTTAAAATAATGGTAGATTCATAAAAAGAATTAATATCTCAAAGAACTTCTTTCAGCTATGTATTTTTATACATTTATTTGATCATGATTGAATACCTCATTGTCTGTCGAACTGACTAAGGTTATGAAGATTGGGATGTCTTGGTCATTCAGATATCAAGTACTGACAATATGTGTAACAAACTTTGAACCTAGAATATCACATGAGTGTCTAAACATAAAATTGCTGATCTATATGCATACGTGTGTATGAATGTCCATGCTTGAAGACTCTGCTTTTTATCATAGTTTTAGTAAAATTATAAGTACAAATGAAAAATGCATATTGTTGCTTCATTGCTTTAAATGAGATCAAATGCTTTCATTCTGTATCCCTTTTGGGTGAGTTAGTTTCAGTTTGTAAACTTCAGTTTATCATTTGCCTCTAGAGTCATTCAACTGAAGATCACACAACAGAAGTTTATGAGACAAGCTATTGATCTTAGCAATTAGGCCATTAAATCAAAAGGGTGGGAAGAAATTGGACGGAAACCAATTTCCACCAAACGAAGTCCAGTAAGAATGTGAGGATTCCTGCAGTCCTGTTACAGTGAAGGCAATCATGAGACAAAGTTGTGAGCATGTTTGAAACTCCATACTCAGTTCTAGAAACAAAACTCCTTTAGTGTGTTCTATTTGGCTCTTATTTACATCTCAGCATCCTTAGTTCAGCGCAAATGCTAAGGTTTTATTCAACTTATTTAGCTTTATAAAAGTTAAATAGAACAGTTACTGTTTCATTCATCTGTAAGAATTTTAAATTGATCTACCTTAGTTGACAGCAAAATGAACCATACACATACTTCTTTCTCCATTTGGTGATAAAAAGAGTGCTGACAGCTAGATCAAATAAAGATTACCTCTGTTAGATAAGATGAAACTGAGTCTACATAGAGGTTTTCTGTAATGTTTTCAGGTTGAGTGAAAGATAGACATTTTTGTTCGTTATTGGCTTTTTTTTCTGATATCATAGAAAATCTGGGCTTATTTTCTGGGCTAATATGAGTACAAATAGAGACACTGCTAAACATTAAAAAGATAATCCCAGTATCATGACGCCATTCTGATACACCAGGAAAAGGTCAGAACCTCATTCAGTACTTCTGTGTGCGGTGTACATGTGTGTCTGTTGTAATTTGTGATTTTTAGTGTGAGAAACAGCAGTTTTCCTGAGTAGATTATCAAAAAAAGCTCCAGGGTGATGTGAAGACAAACTTCAGAGGTTGCATACAGAGGAGTTTTTTGTTGTTAATTTATGCAAACGAGAGGTGAGCAGATGTTAGAGTCTGTTGGAGTTAAAGTTTAAATGCAGCCTAAGTGTGAAATTGGTGCTGTATGCTTGATTAATAAAAAGCAGTAAAAAAAGAATACAATATAATTGATTGTATAGCTATTAAAATATGAGGTAGTGTTATAAAATTTGAGAAAATAAATATAGCTAATAAAAATATGTTTTAATAGCTCCTATTTTTCTATTGCAGTATTTATTTATTATAAAAGACAGAAAATGTTAGGAAAAAGAATCTTCCAAAAAATCCTGTGTTCTGTGATTGAAGTAACATAGTGGCTGTTCCAAAATTACTTTTGTTCCAAATTCACATAATCATGTGCTTGGAAGTTAATGAGAGAGGACAAAATAAAAATGATAGCAAACAGGAAAAAAGATAAAAGGAAGAGCAGTACTTCCATCTCCTTTGGAGACAGAGGAAAATATGATAATTTGTTTTCCTATATTAGGATATCATGAAATAATTGAGGATGTTATAACTGTGCTGTCATCTCAGAGCTAAGTTAATTGAACCATATGTATAATTCAACGAACACAAGCTATAAAGACATTATGACTCAGTATAATAATTCTGTTAAAGTACAGAAAGTGAGTGAAAGCCTCAAGAGACTTTAGAATAAGTTGGGGAGATGAAATTGTAATAAAATGTGGATTAGGATCTGGAAAAGTTTGCTGTGTTTTTTTCTTTGGCTCTGCAAATGAGGAGAACAGAGGAAAACGCGGTGTCACAACTTGCAATGACTGAGTTGGAAAAGTATAAATTTGCCCCAGTGTAAGGGGGCTGACAAAAACAGAACTAAGAATTTGAATGCATGCCATCTGTGAGGATCTTTAATGGTTGTTAGAGCAAACGTAAATATTTCAGCTATTAAAATACGAAACACTGAGATTGAGAAACATTTGAAAGGTTTTAAAAATTAATTTTTGCTGAAAATGGATAGTGTTCAGCCATTGGTAAAATGCATTTTGCTTGTTTAGCTTATGATTCTATGTAGGAACATGAAGTTTGCCATTTGCAGCAGCATGAAAAGCTGAATTTCAGAGAGCCATAGGAAGTGTGCCTATAAACTGGGAAAATGCTAGAGGAATCCTCCAGTTCAGGTGGTATTCTGGTGCTATCAGTATATCTTATCAGTTTGGGGAGTGACTTGGTATGTCATCAAACTAGTATTCTGCCCATTCTGTGTAGCAGTTCTGAAACATTGCCAATGGTTTGACGTAAAGGAAAACAGTACAACTAGCTATGGCTGTACTATTAACCATAACAAGTGTGTACGTACAAGTGCATTAACTCACCAGTAGTGAAAAGAAAACATCCATTTTTTCCTCCTGCAGTGTCCTGATTAAATAAGGTGGTTTGGGTTTTTGCTTTCAGTCACTTGATGATTGTCTCTTTTAATATCTATCAGGTATACCACTTCTTGCAGTAATCAGAGTTCTCCCTTAACACACTTTGGAATCATGACAGAATGTTGGCAATCGAGGGATTTTCGGCCTATGTTGTTTTTTTCATTGCTTTTATAAAATCTGAATTAGACAGCTATGGCCTTGGAGAATTGTTTTTTTGTTTGTTTTTTGTGTTTTTTTTTGCCTTTGCAATGAAGGTATTCATTAATATGGTATTGTACTACAAATATTAAGATGTTATGCCTGCAACATAAGACCTACTAAATTTGCCTTTCAGTTACTTCCTCTGGTACACTGGTATTTCAGATTGCAATGTTAGTACTTCTGACTGTTACTGAATACGCTCAACAAAAAAACCAAGTTCCATTTTTATTTTTTTTTTTCTCTCATTCGAGATAGAGATGATTTAATTATCTTGGAACTTTCCATATTTTTGTCTGTCCCCGGAGCAATCAGCTGGCAGTTCAAAACATAATATAAATAAACCTCTTTTACTCTAGATCGTCTCTTTTATTTCTTCTTCCCACTTTGAGTTTTTCTTGGGAGGTTTCAAAGGAAGGCTCTCTGAACTGCAGTTTGAACAAGGGGGAAGGTTCAGTAAAGAAGAATCTTAGATTCTCTAAGTTGGTATCACCATGATAGCAAGAATCTAACTGCAAAGCCATCTTTTACTTCTGGAAAATGCTTTGTAATTATTCAAAAGAAACCAGACTTTGACTATGGTGTGAAGATGTTTCATCCAGTGTCTTGAAAAGGAATGGTCACACTTCAGCTAATTTGGATGAAGCGCTGCCAGTTTCACTGATGTCAGTGAGGCGGGGGGCAGGTCCACTGCCATCTTGTGTCTTGACTTGGAAAAAACCTTTTGACTTCACTATTCTGCCACAGTCTTAATCAAACTTATTTAAATGTCACATTTTGTATATTTAAAATAGTTCACTGTACTGTTATATATGTGATTAAATTTTACTGTTAAGAATTGCCACAACCTCAGCATCTGTATTATTTTAAAATAATCTTTATTTTCAATTAGATACACATCTCTACTATGCTATCTTCAACATTTCAGCCTCCTGAGAAGCAACAGTAACAGCAGAGTGCTTGAATTGAGAGAAAATCCTACCTTGATTATTATTTAGTATTTTTCCTCATTATATTGCTCTCTTCATTCAACTATAGGCAATGTTATGTTCTGTTTGAATCATATACTATTAGCATTAATGACTTTACACTTTTTAATCATTAAATGTGAATAAAATGCTATACTGTTGGCTCTTCAGTTGCTTAGCTGTCTCTTAACTACATGGAAACTTAGCACTTTTTGCAATATTGTTAAAATTAATTTGGACTGGGTTTTTCTACAGAGTTTGAATTGGTTACAGAATTTCATTACTTCATGTCATGTTCATCTTATAAAAGTTTGTTATTGGAAACATTTTGTTCAGTAAATCATAATATCTTGGTCCAATATGAAAACATATATTAACAGTAAAATCTGTTTACTGCTGCAAATACTGTGTAAAGATATTACCACTTAAAATACTGGTTTTGTTTATATTTTAAAAATTGTGTGCCTTTATATGGAGCAATGTTTCTCAAACTGTATATTGCAACTACCAAGGGAGTTAATGAAAGGTTCAAAGAGTTTTAAAAAGCATTAAAAAGAATTTTAGATGGTATATATTAATTATTAATTACGTTCATTGTTTAGAGGAAAAAGAAGCCAATAAAAGAGAAAAAGCTGACAATCTCAGTTTCGGAATGGGAAAGCAATGCTAGCTTCTCATACCAAGAAGGAGAGAAGGGGACCACAGGACTGACCTAACCAGAATAGGGCAGTCAGTATATATGCTCTGTCACTCAGTAATTATAGTAACTTTTTACTTATTTCTCTCTCATAGAAGAACTTTGCTGTTGTAAGTAAAGTTGTTTTTCTATTTTTTGGACAGCTGTCAATTTGGTAGAGGATCCATGATGACTCATAATTTTGAACGAGGATGGTGCATCCAGAATGTTTGAGAAACAATACTCCAAAGTGTAATGAAACATGCATATTGTTTTGGTCATTGGGGATTAACACTGTAGGGCTTTATGCAGGATATTTTTGAGGATATTCCAGTTCTAATATTATAACTTCTAAACTTTCTCCGTCAGGTTATTCCCATGAGTTAAGTATTTAAATCTGTGGTCCTGAAAACATTTTAGTTTTATTGCTGTTTCAGGATTCCCACTTGCCTAGCCAGCCTGCCAAAAGTGACTCCAGCAGAGGAAGTTCTAGTCTTTGAAAGAGAGTTGACTCAGTGATAATACTTATCTCCAAATCAGACATACTGGAATTGGAGTTCTATGATGTTCAGAGTGCCTACATGGCATAATATAGTCCACTAAATGACTGCCATTGACATATGGGATAGATGCAATCTGATTTTCTTGTGGATGCACAGATTGACTTAAACTAAATGATTGGTGAGAATTGCAATGCAAAATGACTCAAGGGTGCACCTTACGTGTACCCTGAAGGTTCTGAAGGCTCCCTTTTCAATAAGGAGGGCCTGAGACTTTTAATTCCATATGAAATGAAAGCTGAACTCCTAGATCCACGAGGTGGTAACTACTGCAGTGTTCTTGGTGTGTTGAGCTACTGTCAGGGGAGCACATCTGAATGTTTTCACCATGTTGCATTTCTTTTAAAAGAATTCACTGATTTATTAGGTTAAGTGATGGTTTAAAAAAAAAAAAAAAAAGTGATGGCCTGTTTTTAAATTTAGTTTTCTCCTTTTGTTCCAGTCTTTCTGGAACAAAGCTTTTCTGCTTTTGTAGAAATAATCCAAAGAATTGAATTTGGCAGTGTGACTTAGATATGTAAAAGACGTGAAATACCCTAGTGTGTTTTGGGGTGATCCTAAAAGATTATGCTTTCTCTCGTACTAGATTTTATTACAGCTCCTCTTGGGAGCTTCTGGGCCCTGGGAAGATTTACCTCTATTACAATTACATGAGATACCACAGTCATTAGAGCTTCTACCAGCTACACTGTAATTCTCACTCCAGAAAACATGCCAGTATTTAACATAGGAACAGTTTGAGGGAAACTTTCTACCTTTAGAGCTCTATTTTTTTCTTGGTATTCTAATCACCTCACTTAGCCAAAAGATGAGCCAAATTTTGCATTTCTCAAAAACCAAAACTTCCATTGATTTACAGTCTCCCAGCAAACTATTCTGGAGGGCAAGCCAACCAATATAGCTGGGCTGTGTACTCTCAAGATCTTGTGATGTTATATGGTGGAATACTCAGGTTTCAGCAAAACTTTAGTCCAGAAATGAAACACATTTCATTAACATTTAAATAGCTAAGCCCAGGTAATTCTGGGGAATTCGTTACCTGTGTCTTGTAGCCCCCCAGCAGCTGCTCAGAATGGGTGTGGGCTAATCAATCCATTGTAAGCCCAGACCACAGTTATACCCAGGCATGAATTTCCTGGTGACGGAAAGCATAAATTCCTATTAATTATTGCTGTTAAAAAGCTGCCTTCCTCTTCAGTGCGGAGAGGAGCAAAATCCTCTCTCAGTGCTCCTGTCAGTATGAGCTATAAACAGCAATGTTTTGGGCCTAAGAAGTGTAAACATGATCCTGGTAACAAAATTCTCTTGGCTTAGGAAAAAATAATTCTACAAACTGCTCAACAATCTGCAGTGTGCACTTACTATAATAATGCAAGGCATTGGAAAGGGAAAATAAAGGCTTTAGTAAGTGGTTCAAGAACATCTGTGGCTACTGTGTCACAGATGAAAATTTAAACAATAAGGTTTTTGTTCTTCTGAAGTTCTCCTTGTTTGTTTTGTTGGTTTTTTTTGTTTTGTTTTGTTGGTTTTTTCCTTCCTCCCCCAGTTTTGCCACCACCTTCAGTCTTATTTTTGTAGATTTCAGTCTTCTGCTTGTTTTTATTGGTCATAAAGTCTTTTACCTGTCTGGTTTTGTGTTTGTGTCTTTCTCCCTTTCTTTCTGTAAGTACTGGCTGTCTTTCACTGGTGTGTTTACAGAATACTCATATTAACTCTATTGAGCAACAAAAGAACTTAGCAGTATCATTGTTTATAGCAGAAAGATTTCTACACTCAGCAAGAGAATATTTGTTTCATTTTATAGACATCATTCTGAAAGTAGATGTAATAAGTTTTAATGATACATTTTTTAACATGAAGTTTATTATATTTGAGATAAATCTAACACAGCTCTGCGGCAAAACAAAACAAAAAACACACAACAGAATCCAGTTAAAAGATGTCTGAGGTTTCCTAAGTGGCATGTGTTCTTCTTAAAATACAGTTTGTAAAAAAAAAAAAATGACGCAATGGAGAATACTTGCTTGATGAACATAAATTTACAAGGGCTCATTGCTATCTTGTGAAAGGACCGTGCTTTGAAAAAGTTCTTGAGATTTTTTTGCAGTATAGGTACCAAGGTTAATATCTAGAAAATATAAACTGGAAATTCTCTCGGTGCTTTCTCTGTCATGCTCTGTTCTTCATAGTGCTGGCAGAAGGATCTTTCTGCACACCCATTTGGTCAGTGCTTAGAGCTACTCTGTCATAAATACAGTCAGAAATATTTGTGTTCTCCAGCAGTTCCTAAGTTCAGAAATTATAGGTGTAGTGTACACTGTGTCTTCCCAAAACCTTTTTCTTCAGAGATTTCACTTCCGAAAAGATGCAGGAGAATGTACTCTTACAAAACAAAACTCAGTATTTAAATTTTAGGGTGCAAGCAGACAGTACTTCACTTGCATTTTCTTCTGCTTAAGTTCATCTATCAGACAAGCCAAGAAGCGTTAGGCAGACATTGTTAATTAGACTACAGCAGTCTATGCTTGCTTCTCATTTTGTTTTTATGTATTTGCATCTGTATAGAGAGTGCTAGGAAATCGTGCTACAATTTCCAGTCCTACAGTGATTTAATAATTTCTTCAAATGGATAATCGTTATTTAGCTAGTCAAGATAGTTGAGTTGAAGGAGAAAATCATGCTTAATTTGAGAAAGAGGTAAAGATGTGATTAAGAGGAAGGGGCATGTTTGAATGGGAAAGATAGCTAGGACACATTATTATTCTGCAAGAAGGGTACAGATTTTTTTTGGTTTTGTTTGTATTCTTTTTGGGGGTTTTCTACCTGTGATTTACTTTGTGACAAGTTTACCTAGGAAAATGAAGAATAATAATAATTTCCAGTTTATTCAATATCATAGCACATGTGCTCTTGAGGATGCTGTACCTGACTTTACGGCACCTGCAGACAAAAACTGAAGCTTTTATAGCTAATTCTTAAGCTGTAGAACAGATGGGGAGAGAAGACATTCAATTTAATGCCTACTTATGAACATTTACTGTAAACACTAGACTTTTTCTTTATAATGTTAGTTAAATTAAGCAATTCACTGGATTCTATATGCTATTTACTCATGAAGATTTCACTAGTGGCTCTACTAATTACTATTTTTATGAGCATTGGCAATAATCTTGCTGTGCAAAGGGGAAAAAAGTAAGATATGATCAGATGAGTCAATTTTATAAGCACAATACTTGTCCATTCATAGATCCACATCCCTAAACAGAAATGTTATTTTTTTCATTTTAAAATCATGTAAAAGATTAGAAGTGCTATTTCTTTAACTTTCTGAGCTGTAGAGATTTTTTTTTAGCTATTTCAGTTACAAGTAAATTATATTTAAGGATAACTGTGATTTTTTTTTCTCTCTTTCCTTTGAACCAGCCTCTTATTCCCAGAAGTCCTACAAGCAGTGTTGCTACACCATCCAGCACTATCAGCACACCTACAAAAAGAGACAGCTCTGCACTCCAGGATCTTTATATACCACCTCCTCCAACAGAACCTTACGTTCCCAGGTAAAAAGTGTTCAGTACTCTAATTCAATACTCTGTTCTCTGAAATGTAGAATAGTCTATTGCCTATTACAGTGTTGTCCTACTTCAAAAGAGAAAAATTATCCAAACCCCAACATATGTAACTATGAAAAGAGTTTATTCCGTTGCCTAAGAGCTATGATGGAGGTTGTGCTAAAAGCAAGAAACTTTGCAGCTTTGACAATAAGAGCGCTGTTTTGTTTTGCTTTACTAATTTCCTTTTTGAACATATTTCATTAGTGTATGAGCAGTTCTCAGGATTGCATCTTAGTGTGGGATTCATTGACCTACCTTCACACGTTCCTAAATGATTCAGTAAAATTTCTTAATACACACGGATGTTGCTTTCTTAAAATTCTGAGAGAATTGCAGCTGTATCCATAAGGACGGCAATAACCAGCCGGAAGCCTAAAGATGTATTTACAAGTGACCAGCATTTTTAATGTTTCTGTATCAGATGTGGCACGTCCACTCAATGTATTTTTAAATTACTTTTTGCTATTCTTTTAGTTTACTTTCTTACAAACCTGTTAAGGGCACCACGTCCTTTCTTGTATCTGAATTTCCTGTACCTGGGTTTTCTGGTACCTGAGTTTTTCTTAGACTCTACTACCAGTAACTCTTCTAGCCAATTAATAAGATTTGTGACCTGATGCTGACAAGAATTTCCTGGGGGCTGTCCAAGAGTGAGGTAGATGGCAAATTAAATTGCCTCGTGGGGAGGAGAAATCATGATTCTGTGATTAATTCTTACTCTTCAGAGAGATGAAAAAACCTTCCAGGGCAAGAAAGTGACTTTCTATTTCATGATTTAGATGATACCATGGGCCTTTCTTAAAGCCATAAGCTGAATCTTGTTTTCCTTCCTCATCCCTACTTTATATGCTGCTTGGTCTGGTTTTATTTCTGGGGAGATTAAAAAAAATACTGCAGAAAGAAACCCCAACCAAAACACAGTCTTTGTTTACTTTTTGAATGTATAGTTACATGGCAAAGACCTGCCACTCTTGCAGCTGAAACTGTACTCTCCTGAAAGAAATAATGCCTTTGTACTGGTGCTAATCATGTTTCCTACCTCAGAAATATTTGTTATTTAATAAGGAACACATCCTCTTCTTTGAAGTATTTTTGTAAGATATTCATATTTCAGCAGTCTTTAAGTTCAACTCTAGAAACTGGTATCTTCAGAATGCATTTTGGCTATTTATTAATACCATCAAATAATGCTTATTAATGCACAAGTTTGGGCCAATTCTGATGAAATATGATAACACATATTAACACAAGGTTCTTTAAGCTACACATTTTTTATTTTGCCAGATAAATCCTAATGAACTGTAGTTCGTTTCACAAAGCTGCCACATAAAGTACAGTGTTCCTGAATGATCTGTTTTGACATTTCATCAGGTTTTTTTGGTCTATGATTAACTATATTTAAACATGTCTTTATTTTGGGTATTATCAAAATGTTCAGAATCTGTTTCTTAGTTTGTTGTTGCTGTTCTAAGGGGGAACTTTAAAAAGTAAAATGCCCACCATTTGTTCCTGGAATAGAATAAAAGATTCGACATTTTGATGTAACTTGTAAAACCCCAAACCCTGCTGTCCTAGTGGAGACACCCACAGATGCTACAACTTCCAGCACAACCACACACAAATAGCAGGACCCATCCTTTTCTTGTGATGGTTACTGACAATTGCAGGTAGCAAATTAGTGCTTGGTCAAGTCTGTTGAATGCCTTTGGAAGATACATCAGTCTCCGTTGCTTTCCCGCCAGTGTCCCCTGCCACTGTCACAGTCACAAGCTTTCAGCCCCGTGGAGCTGTGCCCTTCCCCCTCACCAGCACCATCTCTGCTCTGGGAAAGCCTGGCAGAGCTGGTAAAATGGATGGAGAGGTTTTCTGTAGTTTCAGTGCCATGGCCAATTCAGGATGGCTCTTTCTTTTCCACCATGGCTGCTTGGCTTTGCTTTGTACTCATACAAGGTTACAGGGCACAAAGAGAAGTATGGGTCAGCTTTGTATTTACATGGTCTAGAGGGGCAGAAACTCTACAGTGAGGGCATGAGGCCACAGCTACTCTCTTGGCAGCCTCCCATGCATTTTGCTGCTCAGAAATTACTGTCTGATTAGGTCTTTTGCAGCCATCTCCAGGCACAGCCATACCAGAAGTTTTTCAGAGTCCTTCTTTACCTAGTGCAAGGAGAGGGCAATCTGCTTGGGGTTCTCTGTGTAGGTTGTGCAGCGTTCTGCTTGCAATAAATTTCTGTCCTGGGACAGCAGCTCATGACAAAGTGTTATGCATTCTTTTTGTTACTGCACAGGTATATCTATATCATCTTGGAGGCCCAAATTGGCTACTACAGAACTCTGTCAAATGCTTGTAGGTTCTTCTTGCTGAGAGGTTAATTTGTAAGAAACTAGGCAGAATTTATCCACGCTTACCATACGGCCATGTCTTAAAACTATTTGATTCAAAAATTGATTCAAAAAACTGTTTGATTTGGAAGTGCACATTTGAAAGTCAACATTATTTCCTTGCCCTCAGTTAGTAAGTGCTAGTATATTCCCAAAAAAATCATAAAAAGAATAGCTGCACATCAACTTTATTTGTATGATTCTTTTCTAAAGAAACCATTAAAATACAATCTGCAATGGAAGCAAATGAGCAAAGATGTGAGATAACTAGCGTATACATACATACAAATACATAATATGTGATCCTGATTTTAGCCAGTTGTATATATTTGCTGCTTGTGTGGCATGCTGATATTTTGCCATTTTTAGTTAAATATTCATGTTTTAAAAAATGAATGTCTTATTTAAATATATTATGTAATATATAATAAATATACCTTTTATTTACTGAAGGGATGAAAAAGGAAATCTCCCATGTGATGATGTTGGCAGACATACAGTGGGCAAACCAGTTCATACAGGATCCGAATCTCCAAACTCATTTCTTGACCAGGAATATCGAAAGCGTTTTAATGTGGTTGAGGAAGATGCAGTGTTATACTGCTATGAGTATGACAAGGGAAGAACAAGTGGTCCTGGAAGGAGAGAGAGCACACCAACGTACGGTATGGCATTTTGATCTGACATTATCACAGTTTGTTGATTTTAGGATTTTTCGTACATCTGGTCTTGTATTTAAGCACAAAAATAATTCCAGTGGCTATTGAATGTGCTGAGAATTTTGTACAGATTTAGTTTAATTTCTACATAAAAGCTTATTCTGTGCAAGCATATATGTATTACTATTATAAGGATGGCAAATCCAGTTTTGTGTGGTGATTTTTCTGAATCTGCGTTCTATAATTTTATCAGCTTAATTTTCCAGATAACTTTTCAGTATCATTTTGTCAGAAAAACTGGCAGAAGGCCATGCATTTATGCTAAACCCTCTCTATGAAATCATGTTCCCAGTGTAAGTGTAGGAGTAGCTATATAGGAATTGCTAGGCCTGAATCAGTGATTGAGTACCAAGTGAGAATGCACGGCTAACCAAGGGCACATTGGTGCAAGCAGTGCACCCGGGCAACTGGAAGAGGTGGACCCTAGATGCATTCCTCCTCACTCTCATTTAAGGGTTAGCAGCCAAAGAAGCAGGATCTCTATTCAGAGATCACCCCTTCTGGGGACTTCACTGACCTCCAGAAATGGTAAGCCACTTGACCTTGTATCTTCTTCTGAACTATATCTTGACAAATGCCTTTACAAGTGTGTTCAAATTGTGGTAGAAGGCAATATAATCACCTTCCCTTGCTCCACAGTAACATAGGTATATTAATTCTGCATTAGAAAAAATTTACCAAAGTAATTTTAAAGATCAAAACTTTTTCAGATGAACAAGAAGATGGTATTCTGTTTTCATGCTGTACTATGTTCTAAAACTCTCCTATTCTTCTCTAGTTTCAGAAACGAAAAATGACTGATAGTATGCTTTTTTGTAATGCTGTTTTAACATTCTCTAACTTTTTATATGAGAAATGATGACTTGCTATATATAGCAGTCCCTATTTTATACGTCTGTGTGTTGTCCATGTAAGAATTTCGTATGTAAATGCACATGCATGTTCATGGTACTTACATGTCTTGGATTTTCTCTTATTTATGGTGAGAACACTGAAACAATTTCTGATGAGAGTTTTGCTCCTCAAAGCTTTGTTCTCCAGATTATTTTCATTTTGAATCTATTGGAATACAGCCTTTACCTAGCATTTTATTTGGGCTTTGGACTAGGAAAATTGGTTTCCTGTTGCTATACAAGGAATTGTTCAGTGATAGAGTTGTTAGTACATGGGAGAAAATTAAGAGGAAATTTTGTTTTTATAAAAGTTATTTTGACAGTCCTTGTAATAGCTCAACACATGCTTGAATGTTTTTTCACCCCATTTGCTGTTATTTCAATTATTAAACTGAGCATAGGCTGCATCTTGGAGTTGTTATTGTAATCCTGACATCATATCCCTTTGAGAAGATGACAGGCTTAATCAGAGAGGAAGAATATATTTGGTACATCATGCAGCCAAGATCCAAAATCACCTGGGAACCATGATACAAATCGAGCTTGAGCTGTGTAAAGTATCCTCGGGACTTTAAGCAATGTGCTTGCATTGTGCTTGCACAATATTAAAGGATGTGTTTTTATAAAGTGCACTTGTTCCACACAGCCACACAATGCTCCTGCAAAATCCTCAGTATCCTTTTGATTTTGAAGTGCTTTCAGATGTTTTTTAACCATGCCTATATTGTATGAAATAAATGATAAGTGTTCAAAGTTGATATATTAATTTTATTGCTCCTGTATTTCAGTTGGTGGATGTAGTCCGTTCCATTAACAGAGATGTACTCTCTGTTCCAGATGTTAAATTATAATACTAGTATTCTAGAGGGAGGACGACACTTTGTTCAAGGACTGCTGAATCCATTATTTTATTACAGGATAGCTTTTGTAGCATATTTTCCTATTAGCTGAAAGGGTTATAAATACATGGATCTAAGACCACTGAAAATCAGTCACTTTTTTAACACACTTCTTATACAACATTTCACTTTTAATCTGACTTCTTTTTTAATGCATTCACATCACAGAGTCTGTTCTCACTTAAGTATATTTTCTAAAATTATTACCATTCCAGCATTAAATTCACAAGTTTCGCACATGCCATTTGTTAACATCACATTGGCGGCTAGGCATAACCTAAGAATTTCACAAAAATCTAGTAAATAACATCCCTCTGGCTTACAGTAGCCTATTAAAGAAGGTCAAACAGAGTTCTGAGAAATAGAGAAATAGTTGTTTTCAACATATACTCATCATTAATTATATGGTGGCATTAATTTTCTTTAATACTTTTCAGTCCTCCTTTGTGAGAGTTAACAGGGTTCCTCCATGATTTCTCTTTGAGGAGTCTGTTGGCTTCTTTCAACTGTTAACAAAGAAACTTCTCTTTCGTATTCTTACTGGCTTACAACTGTTGTATAATTGCTGCTAGTTGGCCTTGAAATGCTTCAGTTTGCATCCCAGCAATGAAATTTTCCTGAGTGTAGTCAATAGGCAAAAGAGGTTCAGGGGCTTCACATGGGCTAACGTGAAAGAGATAGTAGCAGCAGCAGACAAATGAAGATCAAGTTTAAGGAAAGAAACAAATTTGTTCACTGCAGTTTGGCTGCCAGACAGAAAAAGAGTGTAGATAAATTCAACAGCTAGAGATATTATGGAAAAGTTGGTATGACTATAGCTTCTGATAAAAATCACAATTTACATGATTTTCTACTTATTGCAGCTTTTTGATTTTGCAAGTGCTTGCCATAGCATCCTGTGAATTTATTCTAACATAGAAGATAAGGTCGTATTTCTAGAAAAAATGACCAACATCTTTCTTATCAAGGATAATACATGTGCACTCATGAAACGACTTCTAAATGGTGTACTTCAAATCTCAGTGACTTCAAACACACTTAATGATGTGCCCATAACTAATAAACTAATTGATAAATAGGGAATTAAGCATAAGCATTTTGTATTCTCAGTAATTATGTATTTGTGAATTGATCTCGTTGTCTATAGAGAACATACTCATTTTTTTGCCATGTTCATTACAATATCTTAAAAATTTTAAAGACAAAAACAGCAAAACACAAAAACAGCATATCATTATGCTGCACGTGCATGGTAGTGGTGAGCTTCCCATGGATGCCATTATTCATTAAGTAGACACATTTGAATATTTGTTTTCATCGTAATCAAGTATCTTCTTTTTCATCAAAAAACATCAAAAAAGCAGAATGAAAATGATGACCTTTATGTCGGGAGTTTTCCAATATGTAGCTAAAAAAACTTCTAATTTTTTAATTTTAAGCTCTAATACTTTTCAAAACAAAATATTTTCCCTTTATTTTCTGTTAGCAGTAGATAAGAGCAAAGACTGATCTTGTTTCTGAAAAAAAAATCAGTGAGATGGACATTGTGCCATTTGCCATGCCACTTTACATGGTATTTTTTTGCTTCTGCAGGCGATCTAACTTGCTGAAAACTATAGCTCACTTTAAGTAATCCCATTAAGTTGCATTGCACACTTTCACTGAATTTCCAGCTGTATTTGTGGAAATCTTAAGCAGAAATCATAGTTGACATATTTTAATCATCCCAGCAAAAATGCTATTTGTAAAAGTATCTTAGTGATGTGAATGTGATTCTCTTACCAACAATTCATTCTGCATATGCTTTAAAACAGTTTTCTATATGTGCGTGCCAGGGGCTTTCAGAATAACAAACAGATATTGTTAATGAAAAGCAAACTACGTAATTTCAGTGTGTTTCTCAGTCTCAGGCATCAGTTTGGTGAGGATTTTGTAGGGCACTGGATTTAGTTTCTAAAGTTAAAAAAAAGAAATCCATTAAATACTTTTAACTGCTTCTTGCCTGTTAAAGAAAACAGAACTTAATCTCTGGTTCAGAGGCTATGCTGGATCCTCTTTCATAAGCAATGCTGTAGAATAGCGGCTTAACACTTAATTTCTTTTTTTCTTTCAAGAATGTTACTTAAATATTGCCTTTTGGTGCATGATCTCATTTTTTTTTCCCTCTGTTTCTAGGGAAACTAAGGCCTATTTCTATGCCAGTAGAATATAACTGGGTCGGGGATTATGAAGATCCCAGTAAAATCAAACGAGATAGTAGGAGAGGTAAGTGATCTGGTCATGTCTTGTACAAGGCATTATGGGTTTTATCATGCTTCAAGCAATGCCACAGGAGGTATGAATACCAAATGTATACATGAATATAAGGAAATATCAGACTCACTCATGAAAGAATCACAGAATCACAGAATTGTAGGCGTTGGAAGGGACCTCCAGAGATCATCCAGTCCAACCCCCCAGCCAAAGCAGGTTCCCTACACCAGGTGTAGAGGCAGACATGTAAAGACATGTCTGAGTTTTCCTAAATTCGTAACCATTGGTTCTACCTTGGGAGATCCCTCAGATAAAAGCTGATAGCTACGGAGATAATTTCAAAGGAAAGTATGGATGATACAGTGAACAAGCTTGGGCTGCACATTCAAAGCAGGTTACTTGTAAATGTATGAGCCCACAGTCAATTGTATTAATTTAGGATTTGTTTTTTTAAAAAAGATTACAGATATGATTATAAGTGTGCCACTGCTGATTTTTTGAAAGCTTCAAGACAACATCAGCATTTTCTTATATGAATCTTCATGTAAGTTTTCTTTTCATTGTCAGCAAAACTAGAAACCTGAAAAAATAATGAATTTCCCCTTCAGATCAAGATTCAATATCTTCTTGCTATATCCAGCAAAGAAGCAAATAAGTTTTGCTAATGAAGAAGTCTTGAAGTCTTAAAATTGACAGCAGATCTTCTTAAGAATATTGTATATACCTAAAAAAAATCATAATTGTGCTTTGCATTACTCTTTCGACAGAAAATTCATTGCTACGCTATATGAGCAATGAGAAAATAGGCCAAGAAGACTACATGTTTCAAAGGAATAGCAAAAAGGATACTGGAAAGAAGTCAAAAAAGAAAGGAGACAAGGGTAATAGTCCTAGTCATTACTCGTTGTTACCTAGTTTACAAATGGATTCATTGAGACAAGATGTCATTGGCACACCTGGACCAGAGACCACTTTGTACCATGTGAGTAAAAATAATTTTAAAGGAACCTTTTGCTCTATGCTTGCTATGAGAGACTGTCATGTTTTTGTAGAGATGTTGAAGACTTTTTTTGACTGGTCATCTTGCAGTTCTGGCCTTGTTTCCTGACCTTCTGATAATAATTTGTTTAAAGCATGCTATTTAGAATCTTCCCGTTAGAAATGCAGAACAGACACCTATAACACTGTAACTAGATGCTACTTATTTTGCTACTGATGGAAAGGAAAGAAGCAGTTTGACTGAATGTATTTCAACGCAGTATGCCAAGTCACATTAGATAACTCCTTTACTATAGCTATTGAAAAGGCCTGTTAATGGCAGGAAAACTTGTTGTGGAGGTATTTGTTTTTCCTTTGAAGTGGGGAATGCCCTGTTGCATACTGATTACATGTTGTATGCGTAGCTGTTTTTAATACAGATAGAATAATAGATTTCAGTAACTTAAAAGTCAATTGGAAAGGAAAGAGTCTTCTGAAGGGAATGTAAAATGAGAATTCCAGTAACTTCCTAGTTTTCAAATGTGTCTAGAAAATGTAGATTGACAGTCACAACATATTTTAGATATGATGTTCAACCTCATGAAATCATTTACGTTTTAGACCTGTCGTCATAGAGTAATACACACACAGTTATACAGCAAAGCAATAGAAATAATTGTAGTTACCTTCATAAACTAGCACAGAGAATGTGATTTAGATTGCCAGTGTTTAAGGGTAGCAGCACTGTGGGGGGCTTACCAAGAACTTTGCTTTGAAAAACTAACAGCTAGATTTCCATTGAACATGTAAGATCCAGGTAACTCTTGTCTTAGAAGCATTATAAAACACTGCTACAAATTGTTGTGTAATAATTGGTTTGGATTAATTTAAAATAATAGAGTTTTTAAATTCCTTTAAGCTTTTTGAATGGTGGGCCCACTGGGTTCCAAAACTGCTTTTTGCACTGCATGTATAGGTGAGTGACAAATTTCAGAAATTATGTCATTACGTCATTAATTCTTACACTGTACTTCAATTGACTCAGGTACCCAGATGTGAAAAGGTTGTTGCTTTTCTTTCTTTTTTCTTTTTTCTTTTCTTTTTTTTTTTTTTTAAATAATTAAGGCACGATGTTAAGTTTTTTTCTTATGTTATTTTCAACCATTTTACAATCATAGCAAGTTGGAAATCTGATTGTGTAGAGATTTCAATTGATGTCAATTTGCAAAGGCAAACTGATGTATAGGTGCATAATGCAAGAGGCATAGGAGTTTTTAAGTAACTGTCTGTCCTCTTTGCAATGTATACAGTCTTTTTTATAAAAAAACCTAATCAGTCCGTGAGACCTTGAAATCAAATATTTACAGAAGAAAACTGAAAAGTTATTTGTGTAACAGAGGCATTCTATTCTGTAAAGAACAGTATGGTAAATTAGAAATACTCCTCATGTTTTGAGAGAATATTCATCTCTCAGTGGCATTTCTTTGTTAGTAATTATTGAATTTCTTGTATACAATGAAACATTTTTAATGTCATTTTCACTTTCCCTTGGCTGCCTCTATTATCTATTATCTGTTTCCAAAATCTGTATGAATAAACAATATAAACAGATACTGGAAAACTCTTCAAAATTCTTGTGTGAAGGAATAGCAACCAGGACTGACTACCAGCATTCTTCATGCAGATTGGGCACTCATCTGCAAAATGCACCTTAACTGTTAACGCCTCAGTTTCCACCACCATCTGATAATCCCTTTTGTGGATCATTACCACAAATGTGTATCTTCGTAATGCTATTAAATCTTCTTTTTGCTTCTTTTCTATTTTTGCTTCTTTGCTATTAAAGCTTCTTTTTGCAAGTTTAGTGGGAATTCATTTACTTATAAACATAAATAAAGGTTATTTGTTCTTTAGAATGCAAATCAGCATTGATCTGCTCACTGGTTTTGGAGCGGAATGTGTGAAGTAGGAACAGTAATAGGAAGCTTGGGACACTGATTTGTTCACAGGACAAATGGAAGGAGCCCTTCACAAAGCATTCACAACCTTATAGTGCCCTATCATAGGAAGCATCCTGGCTGCCACCATGCAATGCAATACAGTTCCCTGTTTATGGTGGTGCCACCTATGCATATGGGCTTAGAAAATCCTAATTTAGGTTGCAGAAAGGTCTGTGTTTCTTTGCCACGTAGAAGAACATATTTACACTCTGGTCTGAAATAAGGAAGCATACAAGAATTTGCTAATATCAGTTACCTAGTTTTCGTAAAGATTTTGCATTATCTGGAAATGGGAGTCTCTGGATGAGCAGTAGTTCAGTGCAAGAGGAATGGTGATAACTCCAGAAACTGTACTAATAGTAGTAAAATGTACTGTTGTTTTTTACTTTTTTGCTTGGTTTGGATTTTTTGTTTTGTTTTTTTTAAGAAACAGATGTTTTCATCATACTAGAATTTCAGGTGAAGAGAGAGTACTGTGACTCCCTGGGGTGCAAACCACAAGCCAGTGGTCTTTCCTGACAGGTATCTGTAGATGAACATATCTCCTCAGGTCCAGAAATTAAAATATACTTCACCAATCCCCGGTTGTTCTTTATGTTAAAAGATTTCATCTGTTAGCCTGTGTTCACGTTCTGCTTCCAACATTAGATATCATTGTACCTTTGTCCTCTAGGTTTAAAGGTCTTTTGTTACCGAGTTTTATCTCCCAGTTAGAAACTGTCAGGTTGTAATCAAGTCCCTTTGTATCCTAATTTTGCTTGAAAGGAATAAATGTCCATCCAGGGTTTGTTATTAGAGAGGGTGTTTTCACACATCCTTTTGTTATTCTCATGATTCTTTCAACTCCTCATTTTTCATCTCAAAGTACACTAAATGTTCATCCTCAAGTCTGTATGCAAGAACAGGACATAAAAATCCAGGACTGAGCTACAGGAAAGGAAAGTGACTTTTCTATTCCCATTCACTACTTCTCTGTTTAAATATTAAAAGGTGTTTACTGATTTTAGCCATAGTCTTGGCATGGAAAACTTTACTGCCTGGTATTCCCAGTCCAGTGAGTTATAACTGGTATTCCTTGTTCTTGTATGCTTGGCCATGTTGAGACATAGAACTTCTTGGGTGTTCTTTTTGAATAATCTGTGACTCTAAAACAGCCCCAAATATGGAGTGCCAGAGAGTAAGGTCTCCGGATGTTCAGGTGGGTCCTTGTGATTCCCCACACTGCATTATGGAATACTGAAGCTAATAGAAGACTGCGATCTGCTGTGGAATGAAACTTCTGAAACATTTGATTTGAGATGATGCAATTTCTGTGTAAAATTAAAAACAAAGAGTAACTCTTTCTATCTTTTTTCTTTTTTTCTTTTTTTTTTTTTTTCATTCAGAAAATGGAATGGAAACCATGCAGCTCATTTAGCGTTTGGGTCTCATCCATGTCATTCTCTGAGTTTCAGTTCTGTGTTATCTTTATTCAACAATAATAATTTCATTATTTTGGAGGCCCTTGGTACAAATGTTAAATAATTTTGGATTATTCAGTTAATGACTATTTCCCCTAAGGATTCCAGGTCTCCTTCCTTTTGGGTTGTGTAGCCATTTAGATATGCAGGTTAATATTTCTTTTTTTTCTTTTTTTTTAACTATGATTGTTTTGCACAGGAAAATCAGGTTTTACAGTTACACCGATTTTAACTCCTTGCTTCTACTGTGCTTATGCATGATTCTGAAAAGGAAAAATCTATGATCAAAAAGCTACCCATAACCAAATTGTTATTGTTTTTTGTCCTGTAGACAAAGTGAAGGGCGTGGAAAAAATTACCATGGTTATTCTTTAGTGCGTGGTGGTTGTTTATTAGCTGAAAATTGTCATTTGAAGGATGCAAGCTGATTCAAAGTGGGTTTCCTGTATTCTGAAGCAATCACAACAATATAGTAGTCTAACATTTTCTTGACCATCAGTATACTAAATTTCCATTAAATTACTGATTTTAGGAATTCTTATGGCACAGACCTGCTGTGATGATCAAAAACATTGTAGTCAAAGGAGCGTTTCAGTAATGGCCTTAAAAAATTAACTGCTTCTATCTGTATCCACAGAATGTAACCGATATAAACAGTATAAAAGCAAAAACCAAACCAAACCAAACCAAAACAAAACAAAACAAAAAAAAAAGTTATATCTGTGAAATAATCACCTCTTGTATCTGCTTGCAGAAATTTTGAATTCTCATATAGATAGTCTCTGTTCCGCTTTGTTTTGTTTTGTTTTCCATTGCAGGCAACACTTCTAGCATACACTGATTTCTAGGCAAGTTGTTTCTGCATTCTATTGTCTTTTTCAAAACTGCTGAAGAAATACTAACATGGAGCATTAATGTTTTTATTAAGCCAAGGCAAACTTTGAGCTGCTGCTAATCTAGTGTGCAAACAGGTGTTCAGACTTATCTATTACTGTAGATACAAAACGGTGCAGTTAAAATTGCCTTGGACCTTTGGGGCATAAGAGATGAAAGCTCTGACACATGATTATAGTATTTTAAGTTCATTATATTATTCTGTATAGGAATTTCCTTGGTACATTGTGCTTTGTTTTTGTTACAGGAAAATAATGTGGTTATTTAGTAGGGGGATTATGTCATGAGTCAGAAGGAGTTCTGCGTCAAGTTAATAATAAAGCCCTTATCCAGATCCATACGCTTTCCTGTTAATCTAGGAATAATGCTGCTATAGAAAGAGAAAATTGCATGTAGCAAAGGATTATACAAGAAAAAACAGCCTTGCTTACAAACTGTTTTCAAATGTACACCAGCAAACTTATATTACTGCCCTTTTTCCCTCACCATTCCTGCCTCCTATCCCTTTACCTTTTCCGATGTATGCTCATTTATTAATGTAGGTATCAGCAATACTTAAGAATTGCTTGTCAGAGGAAAAAGAACCAAAAAGAGGTTTTTATCTTCTTGCTTTGCTGATAACCAGTTTATTTAAAATTGTTTAAGCTAGG